AGTTTTCCTATTCAATGATTGACTGTTATGTAGTTATATTGAAAATGTAATGAAGTTTGAAACTAAAATTATCGAAACGATTTGGTCATTTTTGAGAGAGATGCTAACGGTCTAATCCGATTTAACTATGCTAAGCTAAGATAAAAATGCTCCCGCCAAACCTGTAGATCATTTGAAGGGATTTAATAACGGTTAAACTCGTGGGAGCATTTTTAGCTTAGCTTAGCAAAGATTATTGAATCGGATTAGACCATTAGCATCTCGTAAAAAAATTACTTTGGTGTTTCGATAGTTTTCCTATTTAAAGCCGGACTCTTCTGCAATTACATTGTGTACTAAGACTGACAGAAAATGAAAGGATGTTTGAAAGGAAAGTAATTAAACTTTGTTCATTTTTTAAAGATGCTAACGGTCTAATCTGATTCAAGGATCTATGCTAAGTTAAGCTAAAAGCGCTCCCGCCAGACCTGGAGATCGTCTAAATGGATTCATTAATGGTTGAACTAAACTCTTTTACTCTAGGCGCTGTAAAATGAGTCTATTTCTAAATAAAAGTGGAGTGTTCCCTATTCAAAACAGTCTCAATTCCAGGAATAGTGCAAAAAACCCGAATAAAAACATCACAGCAGGTTCCTTCAGAAATACAGAACAAGCCTTCATTTAGTCTAATGAAACTGACAGTATATCAATGTGTATTGGGAAGGAAAATCCCATAGTAAAGGATTCATTGGGAATGCATTGATTTCACAGGGTTATACATGAATATATTGATCATATACGATCAGAGCGCAAACAAGTATTTGTTAATATAATATCCGTTTCCATATTTTGTGATTCACATGGCTTCCTTCTGTACATTTATAGATGTGAATTGCATTATGGGACCTTAATCTCTACTCTGTCTAATTTGTATGTGGAAAATTCAACTCTGGCATGTAACAAAGCACGTTTTATTGACATTTAGATATTGTATATGAAATAAAATATAGAGAATTAGGTTAGTAAAACTGCACTGTAATTTACAACACAATCCAGACAATATATCACTTTAAACTATTTAAAAAATCTCAATAAAGTCACTATTTCAAACCTTTCAACATCAAAAGTTGTTATAACGTCTCATAATGCAATTCAAAAACACAAATAAATGAAACAGGAATCACAAAATACAAAAACTGCAAATATCCAGATATATTTGTACACTGACTGTCATGCATTTACCTGGATGAGAGTTTCTCTGGTGGATGAGGTTGATTATATTCAAAGTGACATCCTAAATATGGCAATATATGATTGTGATATTATTTTGTCTATTATATGATACTTCAATGCATTAATAAATGCTAAAAGAGTGCAAGAATATATCCTACAGTATTTGGTACAGCTGTATGTTACAGGGATAGTTCACCCAAAAATGAGTATGCACTCATTAATTACTCTCCCTCAAGTGGTTTGAAATTTATGAGTTTCCTTAATCTGTTAAAGACAAAAGATGATACTTTGAAGAATGCTGGAAAACCGGTTACAACATTCTTCCAAATATCTTCTTTTGAGTTTAACAAAATAAAGAAACACATACTCAAAACTCATGTGTTTTTCCTACTATGGGAGTCGATGGTTACAGGTTTCCAACATTCTTTAAAATATCTTCTTTTGTGTTCAACAAAATAAAGAAACTCATAAAGGTTTGGGAAAAATACATTTGTACTCATTTACTCTTCCTCAAGCATTGCGAGTTTCTTCTGTTGAACACGAACAAAGATATTTTGAAGAATGTTGGAAACCTGTAACCGTTGAGTTTCATGTTAGGGAAAGCAAATATTATGGAACTCAGTGGTAACAGGTTTCCAGCATTCTTCAATATATATTCTCTTGTGTTCACCAAAAGAAAGAAATTTTGAAGAATGCTGGAAAACCTGTAACCATTGATTTCCATACTATTTATTTTGTCCTACAATAGAAATCAATAGTTACCGGTTTTCCAGCATTCTTTAAAACATTTTCTTTTGTGTTTAACAGAATAAAGAAACTCATAAAGGTTTGAAAAAAATAAAAAAAAATAAAAAAATAATATATATATATATATATATATATATATATATATATATATATATATATATATATATATATATATATATATATATATATATATATATATATGTTTACTCATTTAGCCTCCATCAAGTGTTTTCAAGCATTTAAGTGTTTCTTTATTCTGGTAACACAAAACAAAATATTTTGAAGAATGCTAAAATACATGCAACCCTTGACTTCCATAGTATTTGTTTTTCCTAAAATGGAAGTCAATGGTTACAGGTTTCCAGCATTCTTCAAAATATCTTCTTGTGTTCAACAAAAGAAAGAAACCCAAAGAAAATATTTTGAGGAATGCTGGAAACCTGTAACCATTGACTTCCATAGTATTTGTATTTCCTACAATGGAAGTCAATGGTTACAGGTTTCCAGCATTCTTTAAAATATCTTCTTGTGTTTAACAAAAGAAAGAAACTCGAAGAAAATGTTTTAAAGAATGCTGGAAACATGTAACCATTGACATCCATAGTATTTGTATTTCTTACTATGAAACTAAATGGTAGCAGGTTTCCAGCATTTTTCAAAATATTTTCTTTTGTGTTTAACAGGATAAAGAAAGTCATGAATTTTTACTCTTTTTTTTCTCTCTCCCAACAAGTGTTGAACACAAAAAAAGACAATTTGAAGAATGCTGGAAAACCTGTAACCAATGACTTCCAGAGTATTTGTTTTTTCTACAATGAAAGTTATTGGTTAAAGGTCTCAGCATTCTTCAAAATATCTTCTTTTGTGTTCAACAGAATAAAGAAACTCATATAGGTTAGGAAAAAAAATACTTTTTACTCACTCTCTATCAAGTGTTTTTAAGCGTAAAAAGATATTTTGAAGAATGCGGAAACACCTGTAGCCACTGACTTCCATAGTATTTGTTTTTCCTACTATGTAACTCAATGGTTACAGGTTTCCAGCATTCTTCAAAATATCTGCTTGTGATCAACAATAAACAGAAACTAAAACTCAAAGAAAATATTTAGAAGAATGCTGGAAAACCTTTAACCACTGACATCCACACTATTTATTTCGTCCTACAATGAAAGTCAATGGTTACAGGTTTCCAACATTCTTCAAAATATCTACTTTTTAGTTTAACAAAATAAAAAACACAAAGTCATGAATTTAACTCATTTGCTCTCCCTCAAGTGTTTTAAAGCATTTATGAGTTTTTATGTTTCTGTTGAACACAAAAGAAGACACTTTGAAGAAAGCTGGAAAACCTGTAACCATCGACTTCCATAGCATGTTTTTCCTGCTGTGGAACTCAATAGTTACAGGTTTCCAGCATTCTTCAAAATATCTTCTTTTGTATTCAACAGAAGACAAACTAATAAAGGTTTGAAACAAGTGAAGAGCAAGTGAATAATGACACAATTAAACCATTTTTCAGTGAACAATCCCCTTAAGTTTTTACATTTATACAGTTCTCGAGCACTTCATTGCTTCCGGGTGACTTCAGCGTTTGTAGTGTGACAGTAATCGGCAAACCTGAGATGTAATCGTGGGTAAAAATTGAAAAACTGAATCCAGATCATGTTCTGGGCATCTGAGCTCGACTGAGCGCAAGGGCCAGTTCCAGATCCTGCTCTTCTTGTAGGCGGAGTCTCCGGATTCGCTCTGCCTCCTCCCGCTGACTCTCCCGCTTGGCCCATTCCAGCTGCTGCGCCTCACTTCCGAACTGAAGCACAAAAAAACACACATTTTATTAAACCAAACACAACTCACACACAATCACTGCTGCACTAAGGGGGAAAATTATGTGTGTAAACTTGAAGTCAGAATTATTAGTCCTCCTGTGCATTTTATTTCCCAATTTCTGCTCAACAGAAAGCTTTTTTAAACACATTTCTAATCATAATAGTTTTAATAATTCATCTCTAATAACTGATTTCTTTTATCTTTGTCTTGATGACAGCACATATTATTTGACTTGATATTTTTTAAGATACTAGTATTCAGCTTAAGTGACCTTTAAAGGCTTAACTATGTTAGTTAGGTTAAAGTTAGGGTAATTAGGCAAGTCATTGTATAACAGTGGTTTGTTCTGGAGACAATCCAAAACAAATATAGCTTAAAGGGGCTAATAATATTGACCTAAAAATGACTTAAAAACAGGTTTTATTCAAGTCGAAATAAAACAAATACGACTTTGTCCAGAAGAAAAAATATTATAGGAAATACTATGAGAAATTACTAAATCTGTTAAACATAATTTGGGAAATATTTAAAATAAAATAAATAAATAAATAAGAGGGGCGAGGCAGTGGCGCAGTAGGTAGTGCTGGAAGGGCATCCCCTGCGTAAAAACTTGCTGGATAAGTTGGCGGTTCATTCCGCTGTGGCGACCCCGGTTTATTAAAAAAGGGACTAAGCCGACAAGAAAATGAATGAATGAAAATAAATAAGAAATGAATATGCAAATAAATCACAGGGTGAATAATTTTGATTTAAACAAACTGTATGTGTTCAAAATTATTTACTTTACAGTGAATTTTTTAAATTATTTTTCAAATGTAGTTTAACAAGAGATTTATTTAGATTTTTTTATGCGCAATAGTTTTGACAAACAAGTTTAATTTTAAGTTTCTTTTTTCTTTGCTACGATGTAATTTAAAGTGCAATTTAAAGGCTTAACTAGGTTAATTAGATTAACTAGGCATGTAAGGGTAATTAGGCAAGTTATTGTATAACAGTGGTTTGTACTATTGAACAAAAAATAAAAAAATTTGCCTAAAGGGGCTAATAATTTTGTCCTTAAAATGGTGTTTAAAAAATTAAAAACTGCTTCTATTCTAGCCGAAATAAAATAAATAAGACTTTCTCTAGAAGAAAAAATATGATCAGACATACTGTGAAAAGCTTCTGCTCTGTTAAACATCATTTAGGAAATATTTCAAAAAGACAAAAATATTCAAAGGGGGGGCTAATAACTCTGACTTTAACTTTAGGTGCTATTAAAATGGCTGCCTCCTTGTTTATTTAGTTAAGTTATTTTGTTTATTTATCAGGTGCTAAAATATTGGGTACATCTAAATTAAAACAATCATGACTTTTGTCGTTAGTTAACTTAAGTTAAACTTTAAAACTAAATACAAATACGATTAAAAAATAAATGAAATAAAATGTTTTTATGGGGGAAAAAAACTTACTAGAAGTTTTCTGACAAAATGTGATTTTAAGGGCAAAAAAAATCAAAGTTTGCTGTTTTTGTTTGTTAATTTTTCAGTTTGGCTATATGATAAATAAGATTAAAAGGTAAAACGAATATCACATTAAAAATGAGAATTACTACTACTGTAAGTACTGTACGACTACTTTGATCCCTTTAATCTGGGGATTGCCCTTCCGGCTGCAACCCATCTATGGGAAACACCCATACACACTCATAAACTATGACAATTTTAGCCTACCCAATTATTCATATAGCAATAATTAAAAAAAATAAAAGTTAAAGTACATAATGAAGATGTTACTTTAGAACCGTAAAATTATCTACATACCTATTCTAAAATAAAACAAGACTTTCTCTAGAAGAAATATATAGAAAACAGTCAAAATTTCCATTAGGTTCCAAAGTTTGCTGTTTTTGTTTGTTATTTTATTAGTTTAGCTTTATGATAAATAATAATAAAAGTTAAAGCAAATACTACAAAAAGGAGAATTACTGCTACTGTAATATTTTATAACAACATTCATTCATTTTCTTTTCGGCTTAATCCCTTCAATTATCTGGGGTCGCCACAGCGGAATGAACCGCCAACTTATCCAGCATAAGTTTTACACAGTGTATGCCCTACCAGCTGCAACCCATCTCTGGGAAACACCCATACACACTCATTCACACTCATACACTATGGACAATTTTAGCCTACTCAATTCTTCATAATAACAATAATGAAATAAATAAAGGTTAAAGTACATAATGAAGATGTTATTTTAGAACTGTAAAATTGCATTAATATCTACATGCCTATTCCAGCCAAACTAAACTAAAATAAGAATTTCTCCAGAAGAAATATATAGAAAACAGTCAAAATTTCCATTGCTCTGTTAAACATCACTTGGTAAGTATTTGAAAAATACTACATTAAAATCAAGAATTACTGCTAATGTAATATTTGATAATAACAATAAATAATAGAAAGAGTATAATGAATGCTTAAATAACTGTAAATAAAAAACATTCTATCTACAAATATATTCCTGCCAAACTCAAATAATAAGAAGATATATATTATAGGAAATACTGTAAACATTTCCATTGCTCTGTTAAACATTATTCAGCAAATATTTGGAAAAGATATTAAAGTTTCACAAGTGGGCTAATAAATTTGCCTTTACCTATAAGTATCCTGTCTATTGTACTTAAACAAATTCACTGACAACAAAACATTAAGTACAACATCATATATTTAGTCAAATGTTATGTGCTGTCATCATGGCAATCAAAGTCAGCTTTATCATCAATTCAGCCACATGTACAGGACATATAGAGAATCGAAATTACTCTCAGACCGTAGGTGCCTTACATATAATATTAATACAAAACGTTGAGTTTTAAGAAAGAATTTACAATAAATACAATTATACATAAAAAGTAATCTAAAAATATACATAAAATGTAGTCTAAAGGATATTAAAAAAAATAATAAATATTTGTAAACAATCCAATAAATGACATTAAGGGCATATGACGAGGAGTGCAAACCAGAGTTGTGCAGATATAGAACAGATTTAAACTAAAATTTAAACTTAAAGCTATTATGATTAGAAATGTGTTGAATAAAATGTTCTTTATGTTAAACAGAAATTGGGAAATAAAATATACAGGGGGGCTAGTAATTGTGACTTTAACTGTGAACATGATGCTTTATCTTGAATCTTCAAAATTTTTGTTCTTACTGCAGCAGCTCTTAAAGCATTGGGTTTGATTTCTCAGGGTGATTTGTGAAGGGATTTGTGTTCACCCAGGGTGGAGTAGGTGTTTGGTGGTTGAAACAAACACATGCAGAGAGCTCAGATGTGGTCAGCAGACCCGAGATTCACCTTACCTTCATGTGTTCAGTGCCTGGGAGAGACACCAATTACACTGCACAGCACTAAAGACTGAAGCATGACATGCAAAACACAAAGAGTCTCATGCAAACATGCTGCGCTGCAAACTAAACATGCAATATGTGAGCTCAGACTGCAAAAACGCCTTTCTTATTTAGAGCTTTTGTCTTGTTTCTAGTCAAAATATATCTAAAATTCTTAAATCAAAGAGCATTTTCTAGACAAGCAAAACATTTGATCTTCTTTACACGCATAAGGTCCTATCATACACCGAACGCAATAAGGTGCAAGACGTGTATGGCGTGATTTGTTGCTATTTTCAGACCAGTGCAACCCTAATTTCCATGTTTTGCGCCACATTGTTTAAAGAGCAAATGCATTTGCACCACTTTGTGGACTCATGGGTGTGCTGGTCTATAGGAGGTGTGTTCAGACGCATTGTTGGCGCGTTGCTATCTCGAGGAGCTGAAATAGACGGCATGCACTAAATTCCAGGGGTTTCATTACAACGACGTAAAATGGGCGTGGCTCGGTCGGTGTTTGGGAAACGCCCCCTTAAAAAAACCCAATACTGAGAGGTCACCGATCATGCGCAGTACAGGTTCTTTTTTAGCGCGGTCATTTCAAACAGGATGATTATGGATAAAGAACCTACCGCGGTGGATAACGAAGGAAAAAACAATCATACAGGTTATTTTTTTTGTTTTTATAATGTTATATTTTAAAGATTTCATTAGCAAAAACAGCTGACCTCGTTTTAATCCGTTTTACTGTCTCTGGGCTTTTGTACTTCCATTTTAAACCAAATAATAATGGCTGTGGTAAGATTAACCGTGTTTTTGTAGTTTAAAATATGGTATTCAGTCATGTTTAAACAAATAAATACCACATTTTCTGTAATAAATTGTGGTTAATTTTTCTTTCTCGATCTTAATTAACATAACCCATATTTATTTTCTATTTTTATTTAAAGTCATCATACATGAAACACCTGGGATCAGGACAGGTATCTGATGATACTGTATATAATATAAAAGTGATCATACATGAAACACCTGAGATCAGGACAGGTATCTGATGTTAATGTATATAATATAAAAGTGATCATACATGAAACACCTGAGATCAGGACAGGTATCTGATGTTAATGTATATAATATAAAAGTGATCATACATGAAACACCTGAGATCAGGACAGGTATCTGATGTTAACTAATATAAAAGTGATCATACATGAAACACCTGAGATCAGGACAGGTATCTGATGTTAACTAATATAAAAGTGATCATACATGAAACACCTGAGATCAGGACAGGTATCTGATGTTACTGTATATAAAAGTGATCATACATGAAACACCTGAGATCAGGACAGGTATCTGATGTTAATGTATATAATATAAAAGTGATCATACATGAAACACCTGAGATCAGGACAGGTATCTGATGTTAATGTATATAATATAAAAGTGATCATACATGAAACACCTGGGATCAGGACAGGTATCTGATGATACTGTATATAATATAAAAGTGATCATACATGAAACACCTGAGATCAGGACAGGTATCTGATGTTAACTAATATAAAAGTGATCATACATGAAACACCTGAGATCAGGA